CTGTGTGCTCCACCGTCTCCTTTTCTCATTAGAGGTGGGGGTGAAGTTGGATCACGCTGGCCTTTGTGTTTGCCTTGTGGTTGGATGAGGAGACTCCTCTCTTATCTCTATTCAGGTGCATTCCTCTCTATAGGAGATGATTGTCTTAATAATACTTGTCGAACAATAGCAATGTCCAGAAGTCTGTTGAAAGGAAACTTGTTTCTGTGTTATGACGTGCTAGAAGTTGTGTATCTGTAGTACATTGGATGTTGCTTTAATCCTTTTAGGCATAAGCTTGAACACCATAACTGGCAAACTACTATGCCTTTCTCTCACAGAGTTTATTTGAAGCTGTCCAACCTAGTAAGATTTTGTCCCAAAAGCCTTGCTAAGACAGTTCCACAAATGCTGATAATCAAGCTCATTGGCTTTTCTACATTTATGAGCTTCAACTTTTAACTGTTTTGGTTGACATTTTTTTCATACCATGGAACAAATGCCCTATATGCTGAGGACAAAACATCTCAGTATGTTGCTCCTCCATATTAGGATGTGACAACTTGAAAAAATATACCAGGAAACTACATTTCTAGAAGCGTGTATTGAAAATCACACCAAATCGAACTTGTATATGGACCAAGTTGAGTTTGAGCCAGCACAATACTGGGGTGCAATTTGTTGATTAGAATCTCTTCCTTCTAGCACTTTGCCTTATGTCATGCTTTTGATCTTTTCTTTTTAAAGTATATCTGTATTGTCCCATAGGAAGTATCTTTTGATGAACCATAGAAAAAGCAGGTTGTTGCCTTAGTCATTAGTACGAGCTTTTGATTTGAGGAGTGAAGTCACCCATTAGATCAAAGTGTGAGTCATAATTCATCTATACTCTTTAGATACAGATGAAGAGCTGTCTTTTTTTCCATGCAACTCCTCTACAGGCTATAATCTGTTGGTAAAGGAAAACTGTATAAAGATGAAAGGACATGTAAAGTCGTAGCTGCAGCGGTTAAGGATGCTATATCAGATTCAGTTGTAGATCTATAAAACCCCGAGGTAGAGCTCCCTTCCGCCCCCCCCCCCCCTTCTCTCTCTCTCTCTCTCTCTCTCATGTTTATCTGAGATCTTTTATTGCAGATTTCTGTTCTGGTTGAGCTACTACCCCTTTCGGCTGTTCTGAGTGGGTTGAAAATTAAGATTGAATTGGGTGAATTAGGTCCGTCAGTGTTGCCCTTTTCTTCCTTCAACTTCCTATCTTAGTTTTAGTGTATAGTTGTGATTTTCATTATGTGTGCTGGTCTCTTTGATGTTGCGGATGGTAATTTGTTTTCGTGTTGTTTGCTTGACTTATCAAGATAACATGTCAATGGAGGTGGAGGGATGTGAGGAGATGACTCCAATCACAGAATTGGAATTGTCGGGTGATGAAAATGAAGAAGAGGCATCTAATACCATGAGTGCGAGAAACAAGGTACTTGGTCTTCCTCCTTGTGATAAGAAGTATACATCCGATTGTTGGAATCATTATGAGAGAATCAAAGATAATGATGGAAAAACATATCAAGTGAAGTGCATTCATTGTAAGTCTGTGTTAAAGTACCGTGTTGCTAACGGTACTTCCGCAATGAGGAAGCACTTGACAACATGCAAGAAATTTCCTCGCAATGTAGATAAAAGGCAGAAATTCTTTGCACCACGTAATGTAGACGTGGCTGGTAAGGCAGTGGGAGATTCAAGTACCGGTAGTGTCTTGTTGACATGGTCATTTAATCAAGAACGTTCTAGGGAAATGCTTGCTCGGTTCATCATAATTGATGAACAACCTTTTTCCTTGGTTGAGCGTGTTGGATTTCGTGAGTTTGTCACTGAGTTACAACCTCTCTTCAAACATTTATCACGCTTTACAGTGGCTAGAGATTGCATGAAGCTGTATTTCTGTGAAAGAACTTGTTTGAAGACTTACTTTGGTAAGATTAATTCTAGGATCGCACTCACGACTGATACATGGACTTCCATTCAAAATCTGAATTATTTGTGTCTCACTGCACATTTTATTGATGAAAATTGGAAGTTGCATAAAAGAATCATCAATTTTGTGGTGATGCATAGTCACAAGGGTAGGGAAATTGGAAAAATGGTGGAGAAATGCATCTTTGAGTGGGGAATAGAAAAAAAGGTGTCCACAATCACCGTTGATAATGCTAGTTCGAATGATGTTGCAATTGCTTATTTGAAGGAAAGACTTTCAAGAGAAGGGTTGTTGATCTTAGATGGTAGTGTTTTACACATGAGGTGTACCGCTCATATATTAAATTTGATTGTTAAAGACGGCTTGACTACGGTACGTGAATCTATTGCACGTATCCGAAATGTGGTTAGGTATGTGAGGAAATCTCCTATGAGGACCAAAACATTTCAATCTTGCATTGAGGGTGAAAGGATCACCTACAAGGGTTCGGTTATTCTTGACGTCGCCACTAGATGGAACTCCACTTACCACATGTTAGACACCGCCATAAAATTCAGAAAAGCTTTTGAAACGATGGAAGAAGACGATCCATCTTTTGTGAGTGAGCTTAATGATGATCTTCCTAAAGATGATGATTGGAAAAATGCTATTGTTCTTTCGGAATTTCTAAAACTATTCTATGATGCCACCAATTGGATGTCGGGGAGTTCATATGTTACTTCAAATGATTACTTTGATGGGATAGCTTTTTTGTATAAATATCTAAAAGATGTGGCGGCGGATGCTTCAGATACTAAACTTCAAACTATGGGTAGGAAAATGAAAGAAAAATTTGACAAATATTATGGAAGTTTGGATAAAGTTAATATGATGGTGTTGATTGCGGTTGTGTTGGATCCTAGAGCCAAGTTGAATTATGTGAATTTCTTGTATGGACAAATTTATGATGATGAATCAAAAGTTAATGAGATGCATTATAAGGTGAAGGATGCATTGGAGCGTTTGTATGAATTTTATGAGCAATCTTCTCTTGCTGCAAGTGATCGAAATTTTGGTGTCCAAAATTTGAGTGCAAGTAGTAGTGGTTCCAATACCGATGTCGATGGTAACAAAGGTAAGAAGAAGTATGACCCCCAAGCTTTTCGGAAATCCTTTATGCACTCGAATCAAACAGAGTGCGATGACAACAAATCTGAGCTTGATCGGTATCTTCAGGATAAAAATGAAAATATTCTTGATCTTGACCTTTTGATGTGGTGGAAGACTAGCGGCTCAAAATATAAGATCCTATCTTTGATGGCTCGAGATATTTTGTCTATTCCCGTAACTACTGTTGCTTCAGAGTCGACTTTTAGTACATCGGGTCGGGTGCTTGATGGCTTTCGAAGTTCTTTGACACCCAAAGTAGTGGAAGCTTTGATTTGCACTCAAGATTGGTTGAGAGCCGTTCGTGTGTCGATTAATGTTGAAGAGTGCATTGAGAATGCAGAAAAAATTTGAGTTGGGTAAGTGATGTTTATATCTTTATATATTGTAATTCCTTTTATATATCTAATAAGTGAATATTTAATTTAGTCTCGTTTTTTTTTTAGATATGGATTGTCTTGATGAGGAGATTATCGTCGGTAAATAGAGTTTACCAGTTGAAGAATGAATATATGTGGTGAGGCTTTCTAATACTTATTTTATTTGATTTCTTTAATGGCCATAAGTGTTCTTTTATAACAATCTGCATTAATGAAATTGTTTATTTATCGCCATGCTTGTCTTCATGGATATGCATGCCAATATTTAATCTTTTAGTGATGCTTTTGAGGTTCATCTGCTTTGAGTGTATAAAAGTGTCATGTTGAAAGCCATAGACTTGCTGGGTCCAATTTATGCACATTATTTTCTCACAAGTGCCTTTTGCACAGTTTCTGTATTTGAGTGTGGCCGGATATTATGATTGTTATCACGTGACCTCTGCTTTTTACTTTTCTTTGTGCAGGCTGGCATACATACCTCTGGATAGCATTCATTCCATTCATTGTGAGTTACCTCTTCTGTTCTCCTTAAATTTATTGCGCATGTCCATCTTCATGGTAGCCATTTATGTAAAAGCGAATATATAGCCGTGATTAATGAACTAAAAATGGAAAATATGAAGCAGGTGCTGGAAAGCTCTTTCTAAATTGTGTTTTCTGCAAGTATTGGTGAAAATTTTAAATAAAAATTTGACGGAGAATCTAACTTAGTTAACTTGCACTCAAACCGGCGGTTCCTAAAAAATTTGTTCTGTCATAACTAATTTCTTAGTTAACTTGTTTGCTTGTCTTTTTGCAATCTTTTTGCAGGAGGAGTTTTCAAACTAGAGTTGTTTTTGCCTGAAGAATATCCTATGGCTGCTCCTTAGGTAATTTTCACTTGAGCACGGTCTTTTCTTTCAATATATAGTAACTTCTATCGTCATGGTATCTGCTGCTTGGTTCTTTCCGGCACAGAATCTCAATCAAGTAGAGGTGCTAGATTGCAAGTGCTCTGTAAATGGGTTGTGTCTGTAAATGGGTTGTGAAAGCTACATAATCAATTTATGCCTTGGTGTTGACAATGAAAGTTACATGCTAGTTTAAAGACAGTAACTTGCTTACCTAAAAAAAATAGATGAATAGGACATTGATTCATCTTTCCCTTTGTAATTGTTTCAAACTCTCTTTTTCTTTTTTTCTCGGGTTCATGGTGGGGTAATGGCTTTCCTCTTGTTTCTAGAGCCTTTGCATTTCTGTCAAAACTGTGTCTCGACTCTTTGCTCACTTCTGCTATCTAGAAAGTTTAGCAATCACAGTCAATTTTTATGAATCGTTTTGGTCTTCCTTAGATAGTTCCAAGGGGTTGTTGATTTTTGGGTAGCTTTAGTTGTCCGCAGTGAACCATGTTTAAAGTGGAGTAGGATTTGCCTCAGGTGGCAGGCAAAAAAATTGATTGGCTTACTGCTGTAGGTCATATTGGATTTCGCTTCATTCTGACTGCTGAGTGGCTCCCTCTAGTCTGCATGTTGCTTGTCCGAGTAACTCTTTTTACGGTTCATCTGTTAGCTATTCTGATTGATTTGATTGGTTGTGCGAACATATGCATATGGTTGCTTAGATAACTCTCAAATGAAGCTGGACATTGCCAGCGTTGCTGACTCCTGGGTCTTCACTTAAGTACTTTGAAGTTTTTATTTGTCCTGAGGTTTTCAACTGCTTTATCCAAAAATAGTGGTGACTCGTGGGGTTTAGCTTCTAATCATTACTTGTGCCACAGGTTAGGTTTCTCACAAAAATATACCATCCCAATATTGAAAAGGTACTATTACAACTTTTTTTTTCTTTTTTTGGCTGGAATATCCATCTGATTCTTAATGTGATTTTTCTTTTAATCATCTTGGTAGCCGATGGAAGTGTTTTCTGATGTACTGTTCTGCAGCATTCAAGCTTTTTTTGAGCGCTCCAAACCCCAATGATCCGCTATCTGAGAATATCGCTAAGCATTGGAATACAAATGAGGCTGAAGTTGTGGAAACAGTTTCTATGTCTTTTGTGGTTTTACGGGGTCTCTGTAGCTGGTTCTCCAATCATGTAGTACTTTGAATGATTGAGATTCAGGTGACAAATTTTTATTAGTTGATTTGATCTTTTTCGCTTCTTATGCTTGCGTAAATAATCACTTACTATGGTCCAATGGAAGGCCAAAATTTAATTTTCTGCTCTATCCTTGTTATGGTCCGGTAAAAAGAACCTGTTAGAACCTGGAACCGACCCTGGAACCTGTGACAGGGTAGGTTCCAGGTTCCACGTTTCGACGGGTAGGTTCCAAGTTCCAAAAAATAAGGAACCTGTACCCGAGGGTAGGTTCCAGGTTCCAGGCGGAACCTACCCGGAACCTGGAACCGCTCACCCCTAGTTATAATGACCAATTTGTGCGTATCATTCTCTTGAGTTGGGCTCACCTGCATCGAGTACAGCCTTTCCAAGATGAGGGAGAAAAGAAGTGCTGAACTTTTTCTTTTTGGGCCAGTCGGGATCAAGAACTTGATTAAAAGCCCATTTTACTCGAAGCCCCTTTGCTGGTTTAGCTTGCAGTCTAGATATAACCAATAACGTTCGTAATATGTTATGTTTGCAAGTATGGCTGGCTCCCATTTTTTTTGTTATTAATTCTTTCGTTTATTGCTAGTGAGAGTCGTCTCAGCCAGAGCTTGTGATTCAATGCCATTTTTCTTGTATCCCAAAAGTGTGGAAAAGGAGAAGGGGTTTGACACGACGGTTAGACTGCGTGATAACGACAAGTAATCAAGTAGCGTAAAAAGTCAATTAAAAATGAGTAACTTAAAAAATTTTAGCGCCATGCTGGGTGAGACGTATATCATGCGGATGATATGAATGGATGTCGGTTATACCACATAAACTCTGTAAATAACACATAAAAATACTTTCTTGAGGAATAGGTCACCATAGGGTGGGTTAAAAGGTTTCTTATGGAAAACCATTCGGATTATCGACCCATAGAGAAGAGCTATCTCATGCTAAAACTATTGGAAAAAAAACTCAACTGTAGTGTATGGTGTAGAGGTGTAGAGAAGGTTTGCTCCCAAAGTCCTTTTGTTTGCAGAAGAGGAACGGCCCTAGTAAACTTGAATGTTAGGTGGTAGGTAGATTTGATGACGGAGTGGTCCATCAGTCCGCCTGAGCCACATTGGCTTGAAAGGCATTTTTGCTTAGGCTTGGACAAGACTTTCTAATTATGAAATCTGATATGGTTTGATTGAGTTGGCCCGACAATGTTATATGTAATTTTTTTTTATTATAGGCAGATTTGAGCAACACCTTGTGGTCATGGTGGAAAAAGTACGATTTTCCCCCTTTAGAATAGCAATGAATTCTCGTTCATGAGTAGTTTGATGGCTTTGGAAGTCCAATGACCATCCGTATGTTAACAACATACACTATTTATAAAAATATAGCTGATGATGGATACGACGACTCATTGGGCACTTTCACGCCCACTAGTCGTCTTCTTTCGTGTAACATGGTATTACATTTTGTCGAACTAAGTGCCAAGATTTTCATCTAACGGAAACGTTTAAGGAGGTGGTTCCCAATGAACACAATTTAAGCAAAAATCACCTTGTTAAGACCTACAATTATGACCTCCAGAGAAGATGTCACGCAAGTAGTCATTGATCTCTACCATTTACACAATATTACAACAGGTCAGGTAAAAAGGATGAGATTAAACACGTTATAAATTCACAGCTACTACTTATGCCAACTCAGACCAATAGAATTGAACCAGGCAGGTCTTCATTTCAAACAAGACATGTGTCTGTGATCGATTGATTTAGTGTTTGATATCTATTTGGAAAATAAAGATGGGATATTATCAACTCTGTTTGTTTTGCAAAAACTAAATGATTTAGAAAATAATTTTTCAATAATGATCGTTTATATCCCTTATAAAAATGAATGAATTTTTTTTTTTTTCACGAAAATATTTAGACATAATTAGAGTGCTTGCGTCTTGCCTTAATTAGAAAGCTGTGACATTCCGAATTTCGATCCATTTTTGAGATTTATAAAACGTGTATTTTGTCAGTGCGCTTATAACAAAATCTCGTCCGGAACTGATCACTCTTGGGTTATTTCTTTTTAAATTAGAGATTTCGCTAGAATCGCACTCGATCAAATTTGGCTGTTATTTAAAGCCCAAACTTTGGTGTCGAATTTCTCGGAGTTCCGGAACGAATTTAATTGGATGGTATTGATATTATTGTGGCCAGCCTCGATATTGTCTGGGATATGTGAAAAGTGAAATTTTGACCGGGTGCGGATTTGGACTAGTAGACCTCTTTCGTAGTGTGTTTTAGCTATTTTCTTTTGGCCCTTTCTCCTAATTATTATTTAGGATTTTTGTGGACTGTTAGATCGTTTTCGGATTCGAATCGTGACCGTTGGATCGCATTCGAGGACAAAAATTAACTTTTGTCCTCTCTCTCTCTCTCTCTCTCTCTCTCTCTCTCTCTCTCTCTCTCTCTCTCTCCTCCCCCATGCACACATCCCCTCACGCACGTCCCCTGCCATGCAGACCTGCCCCCTGCTAGGGGTGTCAATAAAACCCGGGCCGGCCCAGCCCGACCTGCGCCGACCCGGTCCGGCCCTAAAATTTGGGGTATTTTGGGGTCGGGTCTTAATCTTCTTCGAATATAGCCCTAAAATTTGGGGTTTCATTAGGGTTGGGTGGGTCAGGCTGACCCATTAACACTCTGGGCCGGCCCATCTCCCTCTCTTAGACTCTAAGTCCGACTGAGTCAGTCGCCAATCGCCATCGCCAATCGCCTCGCCTCATCTGCTTTCGTCTCTACCCCCGTCGATCATCTCTCTGCATCCTTCGCTAGTCGCCGTCGCCGTCTCCGTCGCTCAAGGTCGGTCTCTCTCTCTCTCTCTCTAGCTCTGCAACGCCTCTGTTAGGGTTCGCCTCTGTTGTTGTCCTTTTCGCTCCGCTTGCCCTAGCGTCCTCGATCTGCTCTCTTTTACTCCGCGATCGCTTGCGCTCGCGAGCTCCCGCCCTTCCGTTTGCGCTCCGGCGAAGGGAACGAATTGCTTGTACAAAGCAGCTGCGGAGCGTGATATCAATCGCGTTCTGCGGATTTCGTGCGTGTTGGGTGTCTTTGATTGGGTGTCTGAATTTTGGGTTCAGGTGATAGTGCCGGACAAGTGGAAGGACGGAGCCAGCAACACCACCAAGGGCGGCGGCCGCAAGATCAACGAGAACAAGCTCCTCTCCAAGAAGTCCAGGTTACACCCTCTCTCTCTCTTTGTCCCTTTCCCTTTCTCTGGAAGACGAATTTCCATGAAGTCGCTGTATTGCGCTGTCGCGAACTAGCTGTGCTTCCAGGTTTTGCTTCACTTTTATTGTCATGGTTGTTGGATTTAAATGCGTGCGTGCGTCTATATATCTGAATTCTTAGAATGTCGTCTTTTTTTCTCAGTCATACTATTGATTTGTTGACAAATTCTAGCGACTGTTAATTTATGATTTTTGGAGTTGAAAGGAATCTTGTTTGTTTTTATTTGGTGTAGTTACACTTTGCATCTCAAAATTTGAGTTTGTCAAGCTATGTCCTGTGTTCTTTCATTCTTTCAATTTGCTCACTACATTAATTGTCTCACTTTGTCCAACTCTTTAGTTATTTTTTAATCATGGTCAATTGACTAATGCCTTAAACAAAGGGTCATTTCGTTACTCAATATATACAAAAACTGAACTTTGGCTTTTACTTGAGACTTTAACAAAGATCCGTAGGAAACAACTGTGGCTAATTATGTGGATTGGCATTAGATGGGCATTGCCGACTAGTTTTGAGAATTAAAAGATTTAGGTAGGTAACATATGAGGCTTGTGACGAGTTTGCTCTTGGTGGCGTAAACTCTGCAGCCGGTGATGATTGTTAATGCTAGGGATTGAGTGTAAGTGAGAAGGAGGGAGAGAGGATTTCAACTAACTTTTAGTGGATCTGCATAATTTTAAGATTTTGACTAATGGTTTGGAGACTTATTTTGTGTTGAAGTTATTCAACTTTGGATCATGGATTCATGGGTAACTCTATATGCCATTATTTTCTTTGAGAGATTTTCATCATTTGGTTGTAGAAGATACAGAGAATTTTAGCAGGGTGTTGAACTTTAGATTGACAGCTAAGAATATATTTTGATGATTAATTTAGGTTGCTAAGAATCATTGTTATGTCATCAAATACCAATTGAAGGCTAATATGTCACTAGCATTTGCAAATTGGTTCCATACATCCAGTTTAATCTAATATCTTGTGAGTTATGATTGCAAGAAAACAAGTATGGCATTTTGCTTTAATCTGGATGGATAGACATCAAGAATTGATTATGAATGATTTGCTTATGTCTAACCTGCCAGGCAGAGCCTTTTGGCTTAAGCAAAGGATTTGGAATTTCAAAAATTCAGTGCACATCTAAATTGTTCAAGTGATATATGCAGGACTTTAATCACGATTACTGAGAATATTGCTTCATGGTTAAATAGTTTAGGTCTTTTGTGAATTTTCAATCTGTTCACAGCACTTGAAGAAGCATGGACATTGTTTTTTGTCTTTTTGCTGTGTCTAATAATTGTTAGGTCTATTTATTCATGAATGCGAGTTATAGTCCCTCTTACAACCTAAATGCCACAATTGTAGGTACTTCAAAGGACCCGAGCTGCTTGTTGATTTGCAGGACCATATCTAAACATCTATTGCTGGGTCTTTCATTTATGTAAGTTACTTCTCTGTTATATTGTTATATCACGGGTCACCTTTATATCAGTCTCAAATGATTATTTATTCAGTTAGGTGCCAAGGCTGAAGTCAGTCTTTGTATGTTGATCTTCAATAAAAGAGATCAAGTTCTATATGGATGTATACATGTATCAGCTTTTTAAAACTGAAGGGTTCAGGTTGTTTGGTTAGTTGCTTTAGACGATGGCATTTCGTGCACCTGAAGGGTAGTCTCGCAGGTATGAAGCATGAACCGTGTCAACTCAAACTTTAAGCTTTTGCCGAAATTGGCACAGCACTCAGGTTAAATTTTGTTTTGTTTTGCTTTTTCAAACT